TACCACCAGATAGTTCAGAAATTGATCTTGAAAATGAACCAATACATAAGAAACGAGAACGACAACGATCACTTGTACTTAATCTAGGTAAGAAATATTATTGAAATTAATTCGGTTCATGAAAATATCCGAATTTGTTTGACTGAGACATGTTTATGCAATCAATTAATAGATTTAACAATTTATTATATGTTTTTCTAGTAAACTCGAATCTATTGAAGATAGTCAATAATGGCAATGAATAGAAAAATTTTGAAATTAATATTAATATGAATACTAGATTAATTATACGAGCAAAAAGAAATTAAACAATATTTTGTTTTACTTCCGATTAATAGACATTGTTAACACGACTCTTATAAGAATTCAATTATTAATTGTAAATCTTGAGTCGTTTGTTTTTTGACATTTACTATGAAAAAAAAGAAATAGTGAACTGATCGAGTATTCTCATGGAATATGATTCTAAAAAAACGTTTTCAAAATACTCTCTCTGATAGATCCGAACATTATTATGACTCATAATCAGTTATTTTTTTCAGATGCCTACCCTTTACATATGTTTATCGATTCTATAAAATTGTGTTGATCACTGAAGTTTGGTGTATCAAGAGGGAAATTTGTCAGTATATATGAGCAATGTAAAAAGCATAACTTTACCATCACCATATCTTAGAATAGAAACAAAGAAAAGATCTGAAACTTTGACAATAAATCATTCTCGCCAAGATCTATTTTTATGCAAAATTTCAAATTGAAAATCAGTGTTTCTGAACAGGAACAGGATATTGACTTAAAAAATACCATGAAAATATTGGATCTCCTCGGCAATAAGCTAAAGAGCCGAACTCTTTCTCGAATATTCATAGTTCATTAGGGCATTTCTAATTGAAATAATTTGAAAACATTTTGTTATATATATATATATTTGTTTTACTATTTAAAGAAAATATAGCACCTGTTGTACAAAATGATCCAAATTCAGCTGATCAACTTCGTCGATCATTTTCTACTGTAATATCTCAAGTATCAACAAAACCAAGTTTTAAAGGTCGTCATGCTGATAGTTCATCGGATGAAGATGATGACAAGGAAAAAACCACAACAACAAGTGAAGTCGAAGAAGAATCAACTGATATAAGTGGAAAAGATATTGATTATTCTGTTTTATATGATGATACAATTGAAGATTTTAGTTATACAAGTGCACGTGAACAAGCTCAAAAGCGAATTCTACGTGATCAACAAGAAATGATGTTACAACAAATCAAAGAACAAGAATAACAAATTTAAATATTTTTTTTTTGTTTTTATCATTTTTTTTTCCACACATAGACTACCTATTTGTTCCCTTATTATGCCCGGCACAAAAACAAAACATTCAAAAAAATAGTTTTGTCAATTCGTACGATGATTAGTTGATGCTTTGTTCTAGACCAATGTCTTTCTATCGTAATGGTGAGAATTGAGAAAGAGAAACAAACATGTATTCTGCAATCTGAGTTTGTTTACTATTGTATGTATCCAATTGTGTTTTATGTATTACTTTACTTTGTTCATCTAATTCCGAGTTTAGAACATTTAGTCTTACCATTTAGTATATATATTCACGCTAGGTTTTTTTTTTGTTTTTGTTTGTTTAAAAAAAAAATATATATATATATATATATTAAAAAAATATGAACAATTATCTTAACGTATTTGTAGTGATAAGAATTAATAATAAAAGAATTTGATATTATGACATATATGATTCTTGAATTTTCATTCTAAATGTCTATGGTTGATTCAACAAATATGAGAAATAATCTGTTTTCAATTTGAGATCGAACAACAATAAGATGGCATTCAACTGTGTTACTCAACTGCAGAATGTAGTGTGAAGCTTGTGATGTCAATTATTGAAAAATTTGTCTGTCATAAAGAATGAATGATCGTTACTACGATTGATTACGAAACACTTTTCTTCAAAGGATATTTATATTTTATTGGAATTAGAGTTTTTTTTTGTCCTTGTAAATCGAAAAATATACATGTCAATCCATCAACTGATCGAAGTCGAAACCATACTGTAACGTAAATGTTGAGTGATTCATTACTAAGAGAACTCTATTAACAATTATCAACATTTTTCTCATGAATACTATCGGTAGATCTTTTGATTTTCATTCTAACTTTCTTTTTTTCGATTATCAGCTATTCTATATATAATCACTTGCTTAAAAAAGAATGACGGCTAACTTTTATTGATATCTACGTTTTAATTCTCTCGAATGTTGAAAAAATATCATGTTCTCTATAGATAAACTAAAGCTGCTATCGAAGATTGGAAAACGAATCATATCAATTCAATCTCGATATTTTCGTCTCGTGTTTGAACGATTATATTTGGACGTTCCATTCTTGAAATTATCCTGAAACAAAATAACAACTGTTGAGACAGAACTCGAGAAAGAAAGAAAAAAACCTCGCGAAGACTACATAAATTCTATGTTTCACACCATATGAATAAACTTATTTGACTAAATATCATTTGTGATTATATATTAATATCATATCAACATCTCAAAATTGAAGAAAACTACGAAAACAAATGGTTCAATTATTCAAGTTTTTTTTCATATCTGACAGTAAAATGAATTAAAATAATCTAGGTTCTATTTTGTTTTTAATTACCAACAATAGATGATTTCCATTTTCTTAAAACGATCAGTCGTGGTGGTTATGAGTATGATCAAAATTCATTTAAATATCGAAGAAAAAATAATGTTTGATTTTTTTTTGCTTTAGACGAGTTTATTTAGCAATAAAGAAAAATGATGAAAATAAAACAAAATATGCAATTAAACTTATTAATAAACGATATATAGGTAAAAAGAATTTAATGGATCAATATAATGAAAATTTTTTCAAGAAAAGTTTTTGTTATTTAGTTCTTAATGAATGTAATGTACTAGCAATAATGAATAGTCAATTTGTAGTTCGTTTCTTTTATTCTTTACAAAGCAAAGAAAATATTTATTTAATAATGGAATATATGATTGATGATGATTTAATATCATTTTTATGTATAAAACATATACTTGAAAAACATGAAGCACAATTTTATGTTGCTGAAATAGCTCTTGCACTTGATTATTTGCATCAACGAGATGTTACATATTGGTAAAAATAAACAAAAACAATGTTCTGTTTTATTAAAAAGCTTTCGTGTTCTTTCTCGAAATAGAGATTAAAAACCAGATAATGTGTTGATATCAGCAACAGGAAATATTAAACTAACTGATCTTGGATTATTCGAAATTCGAAATAGACGAAGTATGGTATATATATTGTTTCCTATAATAGAAACAAGCTACAAAAGTGTATTAGCATATGATAAAGATTTATCTATAATAATTGTAATAATCTCATATCTATTTTTTGTGACTAAACTTCGTGTGAAATAGTCTTTCTATGAATATGATTAGACCTTGATCGAATATAGAGTACTGATCAAAATTATATCAATAGGATATTTTTTATTTTTTTTTCTAATACCGAGTATCTAACTCAAATTCAAATAATTTTTTGGATAGCTAATAAAGTTCTTTATCAAATGCATTATATACCAAGACTCGAGACTTCAGTTTTGAAGTCTACTATTTCCTCTTCACCGAGACTTCATAGTTGGACTATGTAGGAAAGTGTTCTAAAACGAAATTGAACACGGTAGTTTTCAAGTTGCAAAGAACGTTGCGTGAGTTTCATTTTTAACAGCACCATTTGCAGGAACATGACATTTTGAATAATATGAGAAGTCGTCATGTTTTTAAGACCTTCTCTTACAAAATTTCAAGCATCACGAAACATGTAAAAAAAAGGAAAATTTATCAAAAAAGTCGCTGAAAAAAAATTATTTTTTTCTGATACTTGTAACTTTGCAAGAGAAGGTTGTAAAAAACGCAGGGACTCTTCATATTGTTCAAAATATTGTGATCTTTCAAATGGTGTTGTTAAAAACGAACTCTCATTAGATCTTCAAGAATCTGAAAACTTTCCTATATAATCTGATTATGAAATATTGAAAAAAATTTCTTCTGATAGAGAACTTTATTGGCCCTTCAAATTACTGTTTGGACTTGAGTTAGCTATTTGACATCAGAGAAAAAGAGCCAACAATACTTTATTCTTATGAGTTTAAGCAGTACCATATATCTATTGAATTACAAAACTAATCCACTGGATTTTATATAAGTTTTTCGAAATGGTTAACTCTTTCATAAATGAATCTTGCAATTAGTGGATTAAATTGAAGAAAAAATTAACACGAAAACATTTATATGATTCGATGCAAAGTTATCTTTGATTTAAGCCAATATATAGTAGATCTGATTAAAGATTATTCCAAGTTTTGTATAATTTTTGAAATTACTATCGTTAAAGCTGATTTATAATTCATATAATTTTTTTAGAAGTATCAGTCGCCAATGTTATTGGTACATCATCTGTATGTAAAGTACGTGCTTTTCGTATACCTCATCAAATTATATCATTAACATCTGACCTCAGTTTTGTAAGAGATTAGTTTATTTTTTATATTAAATAAATTATTTCTTAGTTTATCTTATTTAGTTTTCTAATGAATCAGATTCAGATCCTTTTCATACATTAACGTCAATAGAAAATATTTATTCAAACAATAATTCTCATTGTTCAATATCATTCTCACGTGTGATTGATTGTAATGTACGTGTTTAGCGAAAAACTTTATCCGAATGTATTCCTAAAAATGAACCATTATCATTTGGACATGATGATTTTAATGATCATGAAGATGCAAATACAAATAATGCATTCGATTTCCTTCTTTCTAGTCCAAATAGACAATCATCAACAAATATATCACAAACAATAAAACAACGATCACATATTTATCAAAAATCTATGCCATAATTACTTGCTTCATCACCAACTCCTCAAAATCAATATCGTCTAATTCATGGAATTGGTCAAACAGTTACTTCAACAGCAACAACAATGACAACTGTTTCATCATCGAATTCACCATGTTTATTATATATTTGATATTCATTTGATATATCACAAATGAATCAAAGTTAACCAAGTCAAAAATCAACGAATCTTGATGATAATATTATCTCAATTTCAATAGAAGATATACAATTAGATCAACTATCATTACCGATTAATGATAGCTCATCAAAAGTTTGTATTATGACAAAAAACACAATATACCTATGAACTATTTTATTTTCATTAATCAATTGACATAAAATTTTTTGAAGTTCATTATAACAAGAAGAAATGAATGATCGATCAAGTCATATTCATATGCGAATCTAGTGAAACTGATTGAGCAACAATGAATTTCGTTCTTCAGTTCTTCTATTGATTTAAAATGAGCTACAATGAAATCAGATCTAAAGCTCTATAAGTCTTCCTTCTATAATTTTAGTTCAAAATTCTTTTAATATTCTTTGAAATAACGATTAGAAATTCTCCATCACAAAGACTCGTTCATTTGATCTGATTATAATAAACTTCTAGTTAGAAATGGATTCTGAAAATGTATTGACAATTCAGGATTTCTTTTCATCAGATGAAAATAAGAAAATGTTTCTTTTTCTATTAGAAACATAGAAAAAGCTATCATATTATATGTTCGTTTTTAGTCAATTTGTTGTGTACAAAATTATTCAAGTGATCAAATATTAACTGATATAACAATGAATACATCTATTCGAAGTAGTTTTCTTAAATCACCAATACATCGAAATGTTTTAGGACCTGTTTTGGATACGTCAGGTTATTAAAGTAAATATTTTTGTTTTTTTTTCATCGATCTAAGATGTTTGTCCACATATAATAATATCTAACATATTAAATTATCGATTTCTATGGTCTGATGATGATGATGATAATCAATTATTAGAAGATGCAATCAATGTAATTAAAGGTTTACTTAATTATGATTCGATTTTACGATTTCAATTAGACGGTATATGAATTATCTATTAATAAATAAACATATTTTGATTTTGTCGAATATTTATTATTATTCAGATCTGAAAAAGGACTCTATTTCTCTTAATATAATTGATTGGAATAATTTAGCCAATGTACCACCACCATTTATTTCAATACCTGATAATGATTCAGATACATTCTATTTTGTAGGTATATTATTAGTTTTATGAAATAAAATTCTTTGATTCAAAAAGTCTTGCTTTAGCTCGAAATAAAGCAATTGGTTTCAATGAAGAATCGATTGATAATATGTCGTTGTAAAAATAATCACTTCTGCAAATGGATTGTAACAGTAGATTATTGTCTAGTTATTTCATTTTTTTTCATTTATAAAATATATTATATATAAATGTATGCATATATTTGATAATTCTTTCAGTGTTTAACTATTGTCTCGTGCGCAATTTACTTTTTCACCCAGCTTTTTCTTTATGTTTGTATTTTCTAACTGTTCTATTTTATACCATTCTATGTTTAATAGACACCTGTGTTAAATCAAATAATGAAAGAACGCTTCAACAAACACAATAAACGAAAAAAGAATGAATAATTTGCACTTTCTCTAGAGAAAGAGCCTCGTAGTTATAGGTTGGTTTTAAATATACGTCATATAATGTAAAGAAAAAAGAAAAAGAAAAGAGAAAAAATAATCACATCATACTGTGTTGACGAACACAATTAATCCACAATCATGACTGACAGCCAAAAATTTAGCTATCTAATTTGTATTGTATTATATGAAATTTGTTTATTTATTTATACCGTCCAGTTTTGTTAACGTTAGGTGAAGATGAAGAACGATCAGGTATTGATATAAATAGTGGAATAATTATTCATGATGATCAATAAGAAGAATTAGAACCATTAGATGAACTTGAAGATATTGCAACAAACGTAAAAACTGATGCAAATAAAGGCAACTATAAGATCTTGATCCTGAAATCGGATATATGTAGGTTTGTAGAGAAAGAGGTGCTCTATCTAATGATATATATACATACATTATGCAATTCTGTTGTGTACCGTAAGAGAAAATTAAAATGAAAAATCATAAAATTGACACCTTTTATATACGGAGTCCTCCTATGCTAAAATTTAAATCGTGTAGAACAAAGTCGAAACATAACCCAATCATGTGTATACTGTTCGACAGCCCACACCGTTTACCTTCATAATCCACATCATTTTTCTTTATATTCAAGCTATGACACGGCTTATAATAACTTGAAAAAAAACATTTTACCTTTTTCCATGATCCTACTTGAAACAGTGTTTATAATTTCAATTTTGACATTCTAAAATATGTTTCAAATATGCAGAATCGTAGAGATTTCATTGCTCTACAAAATGGTATATAGAATGATCCTGGTACGATTTCATTTATAAAATTTATTAACACTTTACTGAGGCGTGACAATATAGACGACACGGTTTTTTTTGAGCACAAAGAGTCATAGATCCTATAGAATTATCGTCCATAGTATGTTGTTCGAATAAGATTTAAGGAGTAAGCGAGCTGTCGATTTATTCTAGATCATCATCAAGTACAAATATTATAGAAGAAATACACAAGTACAGATATATAAAGAGAGTAAAGATTCTCGCTAATATTCAAGAACTGTATGAAGTTTTCAAAGATGTTGAAGAAGCATCCTTCATTCTTTCATCTACTGTGTTGAAGATCAAATGATGCTTTTGCTACGTTGTCGAGAATTCTATGAAATTCTAGAATGTTTACCAGAATCTTTACTATGTCTATACATACTCTTTCACCTGGCCATAAATCTCGCTGTAATAAACAAAGAAAGTTTGCATAAATATATTATTATTTAAGTGTCATGTTGTTGGAGAGCACACACTAACACTGTCTCTCTATTCGTTCTTGATGGTAGAAAGTGCTCGTTTTTCGACGATCACAATTACCTATTACTTTTTTATAGTGATCCACACTCGACGGTTCGTTTGTTCTCTCTCTCTATAGTTCAGTTGCGTAGTTGAAATTTTGTTGCAACACTTATTATAAATCATATCGTAGCTCGAATATAAAGAAGAATAATATAGATTATGAAAGTAAACAGTGTGGGCTGTCGAACGGTATACACATGATTGAGTTAGACATTGACTTGGTTCTAAGCGATTTGAATTTTGATGTAGAAAGATCCCTTACAAAACGTGTCAAATTTACGCTTTTTTTTTAATTTTAATTTTCTTTCATGGTACACAATGAAATTTCATAATATATATATATATATATACCATTAGATAGAGCACTCCTTTCTCTACAAATCCACATATATTCGGTTCCGGGATCAAAAATCACTCTAAAGCTTATAGTCGCCTTTTGTATGTTATGTGATAATGTGCAATATAGTTAATCTGAAATCAATAGTTCAATGTTTGCATTACTTCAATTAAAAGATAATTTACTTCTATATTTTTACCGCCAAATGTTGCAACACGAATACCAATTGTTATATCACAATTATATCGTGCTTATTCATTATCTCAAGTACCTATTAATGAACTTGTTCGTGTTGGCCAATTATATAATCAACCATCTGATTCAAATTTCAATACTACCAGCCATAGAATGATCCTGAACAAGTCACTAATGGTTGTTTGTCTCTGGTTACTCGTCCGATAGCATCATGACCACGTCATGACATATACATACTTCTGTGGCTAGCATGCAACTAGTTAGTATATGTGTGGAGCTCAGGCAATCGAATGCAAGAACTTTATGTCAGACTTGCCTTCTGTCCAACGTTACAGCTTGTACTAATTGTAGAGAAGATATCAGATTACTGAATCTGCTCCTAGGCATCACCTCATAACTCAAGGTAATCAAAAAACAGGAATATTCTTTCTTATTCTTCTTCTTCTTCCTCCTGATAACGAAAACAAACTAGATGACACTGATCAAATTGAAACATTAGGTGACACTGGTAGTGTACGAAAAACCGATGAACAACAACAAATGGAATAAGTCTGTTTCTCTTTTTATGTAATTTATATTTATGTAAGGTGCCGGCAAAGCGAATTTCGAGTAAAAATTTTTTTTGTCTTTTTTTTACATCATTTGATAGATTTTTAGCTGCTGATCACGAATATCTAGTTTTTCACTTTAGCAAAAACTTCTTTCCGGTCGAAAAATACGAAATACTCAAGAGGTGTCGTTTTTCGAGAAAAATCCATCCTTTCACGAAATAAGCAAAATTTTCTATTTTATT